TGCAAAATGTTGAATCAATTCATCTCCAAAAATTATAAAAAGCTTTTGGGTAACATTTGAGAAAATTTTGAGACTTTTACGTTCCCACTACTAGTTCATAAATAAAATATACAACTTAAAAAATGCAAACACACTCGTAATTGCTGAATGAAAATATGAAGCGTAAAAAGACTTTATAACATGTTTTGCCAGCTCGTGTTTCTTCAACACTTGACTTCTCAAATTTTTCTGGATAATGTTTTGTCTTTTTCACTTCCCAGTTTTTGCAGATTAAGATGTTAATAAAACATCTCGGGGGGAATTCAATGAGTGTTGTCATATTTAGAAATTGGATTTCTAAGAAGGAAAATTTCATGTTTTACTCTTAGTGATATAACAGAACTTATTTAGAAATCCATCCATAGTATGTTAAGATCAGTCATACTTGAAGTTCAACCAGGCAACTCTGGTACCAAAATCAACACTAGTGCAAATATATTTAACGGAATATATAAATGATAAAAATGTGAAGTGAGGCATACTAAGTAAGAGCAAGCACTTTAGAGTCAGTCAGGACTAAAACACTAGCGTCATAGCCTCATGCAGTAGTATATGTTGGTGTTACATACTAGCATTATAGGGTTATTGTGAGGATTAAATGAGATGTCATATAAAGGATTTAAGGAATGTAATGCCAACTACATTTTAGCTACTATTATTCTAGCATGAAGCAGAATAAACTAATAAGCTTCTTAGAAGCCTAAGTGTTTTCATAACTTTGCTTTAATGAGTTTTAAATCCTGGAATTAATTTCCATGTAGGCAGGGACTTGTTCATTCTTCTCAGCTCAAGGCTAACCTAATGGTCTTGAGTGGTTCTAAATCAACCCCAGTTCTCAAACTGGGGCTTACCAACTCCTGAAGGTCTCAAAGACCCTTTCAGGGGATCTACAAAGTAAAAGCTATTGTCATAATCATTGCAATAATAGTAATTCTAATTTTACTAATAATAGTAAAATTATTTCATAATTATACTACTTGTCTAATACTTTCATTTTCATTTTCCACTGTGTTGGCATATGCACTGATGGGGAAAATGCAATGGCGGGTAACACTACTGATACCTTAGCATGAATCCAGGCAGGGGTACCAAAGTGCTCTGGTGGACATGTTATTCTTCACTACCATGGGTTCATAGGAAGAAAAAAAAAAAGCTGGTTTCACTCAAGAGTATCTCTGATGGTATAGTACTTTTACTTAATCCTGACCCTTGAGTACACCTCTTTTTAATATTCCAGGTGGTGAAATAAGAAGTACCCATAAAACATTTCTGCTGCATATCTATCTACTATGGCTGTCTTGAAATAAAGCACGTGTATCACCATTTGAGTTATGCGTTCAACTAGCCATGTTTTTCCTGGAACACCATTTTTACTTGAATGAATGACTGACAAACTATGGTATTCAGATCTGGGTATCTGGCAGACATTTTCTCAAAAATTAATGAAGCAAGTGTGTCACTTCAATGAAAAAAAACAACGGCAATATTGTTACCAATGATAAAATTGGAGCTTTAAAGTGGAAATAAGAATTTTGGAAAACTCATATCCACCTCAGTTGCCAATACTAAAAGACTGTTCTGATGAAATCTGTGGTGACATTAATGAATGTGATTTTTCTAAATATAGTATAATGACATGTGACAATATGTGGAAGACCTGCATAACTCAATGAACTTATAGTTTCCAAATGACTAATACATGCTGTTACAAAATTAATCATACACAGGTAAAAGTGAAAGATAGATCAATGGATTTCCTTGATACGGCTTTAGATTCCACATTACAATCAACCTTTAAGAAGCTACCATTTGTCGAGTTTTGGTGTAATGTCAAAGAAAAATATCCACAATGACCTGAAAAGGCTATTAAAATATTCTTCCTTTCCCCAACCACATCTTTGTGAGACTAGATTTTCTTCATATATTTCAATCAAAACATCACTGTGTTGAATGGAAAAGTAGATACAGACATCCCATTTTCTACTATTAAGGTAAACTTTAAAGAGATCTGCAAAAATGAAAATGCTGCTCCTCTTACTCATTTTTTAAAATTTGGGAATATATAGTGATTTTTCATTAAAATACATTATGTTAACATGTTAAAGGCTTCATATAAGTATTTTTAAAGGAATTAATAAAATTTTTAAATGTTAACCAGTTTTAATTTTTAATATGGTAAATATCAATATCTAAACCCATGTAAACTAAAGGTTTTTAAGATCTTCAATAAATTTTAAGAGTGTAAAGAGCTTCTGAGACCAACAAATGTAAGAACCATTATTGTAAATAGTTCTCCAAACTTGAGCTGGTCTCCTTTGACTATTCACAAGACTGATAGTACATAGGGCAAACCTACAGAAAAGGGTGACTTCCTAGTCAGGTTAGGTAGTGGAACATTGTGAGAACAGCTCTTCAGAAGCTACAGTTAGCACTGTGATAATTCATTCTCACAGATACAGGTAAGTCTAACAGAGTAGGACCATTGAGCTCAAGAAAAGCAGGCTAAAGAGCTTTTTGGAAAGATGGGCTACAAGTCTACATCAAGGAAAACTAAATAGCTGAAATCCATTTTGATTAGGAATTCTGTTTGTTTGGGAGAAACTCGCCCTTTCCTGATGAGAAAAGACAAAAGGGAATTGCAGTTGGATCTCACCCACAATTTCTGCTCAAGAGGGCATAATAAAAAGTGTTAGAACACTCCATTGCTGGAACGGTGCCATGGTCAAGTTCCAAAATTCAGCTCTTAAGAGGGATGTGGGAATCCCTCTATTGTCTGTCTCCTTTCCAATCAACAAGTGAACAAAGCCAGTCCTGAAGCTCATGGTCTTTTCAATTCTCACCCTCAGTCTGAGGGTAGAAAATGATGTATATACCTGAATATTGGTAGGCTCTAAATTTAACAAGGAATAAAAGCCATAAGAAACCATTTGACCCATTTCAGCCTCTTGTTCTGACATTTGCATCTCGCTGTGATGAAAAGAATCAAAGCATGATCTGCTCAAAACTCGGTTGTTGTCCAAGAGGAGAGGAACAGAAGAGCGACCGATTCTAGCTTCAGACAGGATAGTTTCTGAAAACAGGACACTGAGCATCACCAATGAGGTCAAGGCAAACTCGGATTGGAATCACTCAGCAGACTCTTCAATTCTTTCGAATCGCTGCAAGAAGCTTTCCTGACACCACCTCAGGCCATCTTGATCACACATTACCATTTCTCTTCCTTAAGACTTCTCATATGAGAAGAAAATAAAGAATAACAATTTACCTGAACCCTGGAGTCAGCTTGCCTGAATTTGATCCTGTTGTAATGACCTGGGCTCCGCCTCTTGAGGCCTCAATTTCCTCTGTAAAATGGGTAGAATAACAGCACTTACTTTACAAGGTTCTTCTGAGGTCCTTATATCTCAGATATAAAATACTGCGAATAAAGAACTTAACACGAGGCTTGGCACAAACTAAGTGCCTAATAAACGGAAGCTATTTTTAGGGGGATTCTTTGCTTTATATTCCCCTCTGTGAACAGTGTTTTTCCGTTATTTCTCAACATAACTCTTTTCTTTCAGGGCTATTATTTCCGAGGTTCTGGTCCCTCATATCCCTGAGTCATCATCATTAAGATGCCGGGTTTCTGAGAACATCCTTTCTACTGCTCTCTAGGGCTCCCTCTCCTGACTGCTTAGCTCTCCAGGGGTCCCCCGACCTAAATTCCATGACTGCGAGTCTCCCTCCGGGCTTGGCCACCTGTCTTGGAGGAATGTCCCCAGTCCCCTTGGAGACCACGTAAGACGCGGCGACAAGACTGCGCCCCACCAGACTCTGAGAAAAGTCTCAAATCATAAGTGACAGCGAGGCCAGGGACCCGGCCGTGCCCTGCGATGAGAACGAGGCTGGGGGCGGGGCCGCTCACCCAGAGAGGGACCTGGCTGGGGGCAGGGCCGTGCTGCGAGGTGAGAATGACACTGCGGCGGGGCGGTGCTCTGAGGTGAGAGCTGGGCCACACCCTGAGGCGAGAGTGCTGGGGGCGGGGCCACACGCTGAGGTGGACGTGAGACCGGGGGCGTGGCTGCGCCCGGGAGCGGCTTGGACCCATAGGAATGAGCCAGCCGCCTCCACAGGCGGCGCGCGCAACTGCCCCAGTGATAGAGGCTGCGCAGGGGTTAAGGCTGCCGGCGCCACCAGGGCGCCGCTGAGGAGACCCACGAGCCTGCGAATCCCGCGCGGGCGCGGCGAACAGGTGCCCGCGCGCGTCAAGCGTCGGCAAGGGGCGGGGAGAGGGGGTGCGGCCGGAAGCCCGGGGCGGGTTGCGGCCCGCCGGGTGAGCGGGAGGAGCCAAGGGAGGCAGGAAGGAGCTCGCCGGGCTGCGCGGTACGCGATGTGGAGCCGCCGGTTCGGCGCCTGCAGCAGCCGCCGCCACCGCCGCTGCTGCTGGGGCTGCCGCCGAGCCGAGGGACATGGAGCGCGGCTGCAGAGCACGGCCGCCGGCAGCAGCAGCAGCAAGCGTCGCAGCGACAGCGAGGCGCAACCCGCCCCGTGAGGCGCTGCGCGGCCGGCGGCGGCAGCAGCAGCAACAGGGCGGCTGAAAACCCGGCGGCGGCCCTTCCTGCAACCTCCCCTCCCGCTTCGCGGCCCCCCAGTCTTCCCTTCCTTAGCCTTCCCTTTGCCACCCCCCTCCTCCCCAGCGCGCGCCGAGCAGCTGAGCCCGGGGGCGGGGAGAGGGGGCGCGTGCCGCCGACGCGGGGGAGGGGCGGGCAGGCGCGCGCCGCGCCCAGGGCTCGCGGGGACCCGGGGGACGCGTGCCGCGGCGCGAGGC